GCAGGTGGTGGGGAAAGGAGGGGCGAGAGAGAGAAAGAGAGAGAGAGGGCTCATGTATTCTAGAATGTCCAGTGGATGTGTTGAACGTGATCGGTTTGCCTGAACAGAAGCATCTATACCTCTGCATGCTGCATCCGTGATACCCAGCAGAGCACATCGATATACCTAGTATGGATATGTAGGGAATTTATCAAGCTCAGCTGAAAAAAGCTACCATGCAAATTAAGTATGACCCTGGGACTGAGCTCAGACACCCCCCCACCACCACCCCCCAGGCGCCGTATGTGCGCGCACCTGTACGCTTGCGCTGGTTGGGTATAGCGTCACTGGATTTATAGGCAGTAATTTACTTGGCCGGCCCCTTGGCGCTCTGCGGCAGATCCTTTCTGCCATTTTCAAAAATCTCTCTCTCTCTCTTTCTCGCTGTGTTTCCAACATGGCCGTCCAAGGAGCCCACTGCCTCCCCGCTTTCGCTCTATACCTCCTCTCCGCTCATGCAAGGTCACTCCCTCGCACTTTCTTTTTGTCTTTCTTTTTCGTTTCTTTCTCTCTCTCTGCAACCTCCCTCCATCGTACCTTTTCATATTTCACCCAAACGTGAGCGAGGCGCTACGTCTTTTATAGTGCTGCGTCAAAGTGGTGGTGGTGGGGGGGCGATGGGAAAGAAAGCCTTGGTGTGTGTGTGTGTGTGTGACGCTGGGGAGGGGTGCGGGGTGATTGGACACGCTAGGTGCCTCTCTGTAGAATGCAGCACAGGGCTGGAGCTCTCGCTGAATATGGATGAGAAGGAAAGCAGAGGGTGATGCAGTAGGAAGATTCCCCCCGTCAGTCCGCCTCTGCCTGAACAATACCAAACCTCTCTGCTTCAAACACTCGCTCACACACACATACACACACAGCACACACATACACACAGCACACAGCAATTGCATTGGCATCACACACAATCAGAGAAAGAGAGAGAGGGAAATTGAGGGAAAGAGAGCAAGAGAGAGAGACGGGGGCTGACTGCGGGTATGGAGGGGAGGATGCGCTGACGTTGTCCCCCTCTCGGATACGAACCTGGGGAAAAAGGTTGACTGGCCACATTCCTTGACGGCGGCAGAGCTTCTATGATCAGCCTGCAATCGGGCATCGCTCACAGGTCCAGCCTCTCGGCGTCCATGGCTATCTGAACCCCACCTCCAGCACGCTACAGCAGAATGGGTAAGAAATTCGGTCCCCTTTTGTTGACTTGTTGAATGCGCGTGTGCGGATGAGTTGACCGTTTCGCTTTGCGTCTTTTGTTCTTTCGCCCTTTCTTCTCCCGTCCTTCGTTGGCGTCTCTTCATTCATTCTGTGGGAAGGAGAGGCTTGCTTGTCCTTGCAGTGTGCCTAGGACAGGCCCTCCTTTTCACATGCAGAGTGTGTGTGTGTGTGTGTGTGTGTTGCTTGGGGGTGGGGGGGTTTTAACAATGCAATCCCTCTTGACCCACTCCTTCTGTGTGTTTGCATGACACTCTGTTCACACTCTATGTGCTGTGTGTAATCATAGGTTTGAGCCCGTAACCGTCTGCCTGTGTTAGCGGCTGTGTAAGTATGGCTCACTGGCAAACAGCAGCAACAGATTGTATTATTTACTCAGACACTCACTGCTGAAAACCTGTTACACCAGCTTTCCTTACATCATCACCGCAAGCAGGAGCGCATGGGTGAGGAGCGCTCCCAAAGCGCTCGTCATTCTCAAATCACTGCTGCATGAGAATGTGCTCTAGGTTTTCCTTTTAACAACAGGTAAGCGACAGCAGACCTTCCCATTGGCTCTTTGTGCCTTCAGAATGTCACCTCCAAGTCATCTTGGAAGGGATTGTGAGGCAGTCGCGATGGAGAGAGCGAAGTTTCGTTCCTCGCTGGCCAAGGTCAAACGGTCCACACGCCAACACTGCCGCTCTGTAAAAAACGGCTGCCGGAGGTTCGCTTTTCTGCGATGCTGTGGCGTGCTGGTGCGACATACTTCAATGATTGCGAGAGCTCTGATTGCCCTTTCTATATCCTTTCCGTTCATATGAACGCACTCACTCTTTTCTTATCTCTCCTCCGGCTGCACTCTTCAAAAACCTCCATCATGGATTCCTGAGCGTGTGTCCACTGTGTCCTGTCCTCTTCCTCCGCTCACTGCAAAGTGCCCTCATTAAACAGTCCCTCTAACAGTGTCTGCATTCATTCCATTCACACTCGCACCCTCCCGTTCAACAGACCGGTCATTGATAAGATCGGGATCTGCCTAGCTGAGTGTGTGTGTTTGGTCGGCTGCAGCGAGCATCATGGACTGGAATCCTATCATTACCTGTCAGTCATGTGTGTGTGTGAGTGTGTGTGTGGCAGAGAGCATTGAGTCGGGTGAGGCAATGATGTCATGCATATCCCACTGCGCACCTGGAGCGCTGCAGAGGACAGGTACAGATTGAACCACTCTGCACTGCTCTTTCCAGATCTCAATCGTGTCTACTAGCCCCTCTTGAGGGCCCTACGAAGGGAGCTAGTGTCCTTGTGTGAGCATTTGTGTATGACGTCGTCACAAGATGAAGTATTTGTCGGACGCTGCATGTGTTTTATAGAGAAACCCTGATGCCAGTCCAGTGCAGAGAATTTAAAAAAAATATCTCACCCTCTGACATTTGCACACATTCATTTAACAAATGATGTTTCTCTGGAGTGACTGAGCACAGAGCAAACCCAGTCAGTCAGGGAGAGATAGAGAAAAAAGAGAGGGATGAACAAAAGAATAGCAATGCTGCAGATAACCGCATTTAGATCTGTATAAGTGAGATGTGAATGCAGTTTTTATTTTCCCTTTTCCAGAGTTTCATGCGTTTCTATAGGAATGTGTGGAAATGTGAGTGATTGGGTCGCACTGTGTTTTTCTCGAATTGTCTTTTCAATTTAAATTCTGCTCGGGTATCTTTCTAACTGTGCATGGCACGTTCAACTGCGCTTAAGCGACTTATACTGCATGTGAGCTTTCTTTCTTTCTTTCTTTCTTTCTTTCTTTCTTTCTTTCTTTCTTTCTTTCTTTCTTTCTTTCTTTCTTTCTTTCTTTCTTTCTTTCTTTCTTTCTTTCTTTCTTTCTTTCTTTCTTTCTTTCTTTCTTTCCTTCTTAATGTATTACAACTGAAGCTAATGTTTGCTTTGATCCTGGTGCCATCTACTAACTGGACCTCCCACTCGTGGCTTGATTATATATGCCTCGGCTGACAATTTCATTTCATTGGATTTCCCAGATTCCTAGATTTTCTGGTATTAATGGGATTGTCTGGATAGGACGATTGATCACATATCGACCAGACTGGCCTTCCAGTTGTGAGAGTGTGTGCTGCATTTCTGGAAGAACTGCACACATGCTTCACGCCAGCATTAGTGTACAGGTGACGTTTGGTGTGATTTGGAATGCATCAAGCCTTCCCATAGGAGAGTCAATCAGAGTTGCTTAGAGACCATAATATTTTCACCTTCTCCTTGCTGCCCCTCCCCTCTCCTCTTCCCCTTATCTGTCCTTTCCTTTCCTAGTTGCTTTTTTCCTTTAACACTCCCTGTCTTTTCCTTTCTGTAGAATACTCCTTTCTTTATTCCTAACAAATCTTTTGCATCTGAGCTGATGCTTCCATATCTTTTTTTCATTATTTGCATGTTTTTTTATTTATTGTAAGTGTGTTTGCACTTATTCTGCAGTCTCTCTCTCCCCTTGTATCTCTGACTCTCTCTCTCCTCCTCTCTGCAGTGGTAAAGGGTCAGCTGCTAGAGATTGGGGGCATTTGAGTCTGCGAAATCCATCTTATCTTTCGGATTTACTACAGTCTCTGAAAGACACTGATATAGTACACAAACACAATGTACTTTTGTACCTGCTTCCATTTTGTCACACAATACATTAATAAAATTACCTTTAATGCCATTTCTGCTACAAATCAAAATTGTTTTTAAATTGTTTTAGCTGTGCCAACAATAACATTTAGGAAGGTATATCAAGTATTCAACATTACTTGAGCTATATAATGTCACTGTGATGTCACCTTCTGGTACTTTCCATGCTTTAGCAATGGACTTTGGTCCATATGTTGTGTTTAGGATGTGTAATATTGTGGTGGGAGAGGGAAGCCTTGTCCCCATGGGAACCTCTGAGTGACTTATGCGCTGTTGGCTGGGTTCTTCTGGACAAATCTGAGGATTTAGCATCCATATGCTCCTGCCTGAACAGCCTTCCAGGCAATTACCCACAAGCCCACAGCCTCAGTATAGTGAAGTGCTACTGCCTACACAACACCCGCCACATATTCTCACTTAAACCTCAACTTCTGACTGTGACACAGAACCTCCATGCTGAGGATCTGAGCTGTTTGTCGGCTGGTCGACCCTTTGTGTGTGTGTGTGTGTGTGTGTGTGTGTGTGTGTGTGTGTGTGTGTGTGTGTGTGTGTGAGAGAGAGAGATGGCAAAAAAAAAAAATAGTGAAGGACAGAAAACACAGAGATAGTTTGGTTAAATTTAGACCTACCAACCCAAAGCAGGTCACTTTAGCTCTGCATGGGGAAAAAGTGGGACAGAGGCAGAATCAGTAGGAACTCATCAGGGAGAGAAAGAGAGCGAGGAAAAAGTGAAGAAAGAAATATAAATGGAAAAGGAGGGGAAGTGAACAAAAGAACCAGACGCGTCTCTCTTCATGTTTTGTTTGTATGTTGTTTGAAAAGGAGTCGCCGTAGTGAGGTGCACTCATGTGGTCTCTGGTTGGCTTTATGAGGTTTTCAAACTGTTATATAATCTTACTACAGTTTTAAAGAAATGTGCAACGCATCCCAAAAATACTCTGCATTAACCATGACTACAGATTGCACATAACTAACAACAAAAAGACGTATTATGATATTTTAAACAAAAGTATTATTGTTATTATATAAATTACATATACAGTGATGCTGTTAATTCTTTATCTCTAACTTTGTGTTTGTTTTTTTGTGTGCGTGTGCAGAGGAGGGTGAATATTTCTTGAAGGTGTTGATTCCCAGCTATGCTGCTGGTTCAATCATCGGTAAAGGGGGTCAAACCATCGTCCAGCTTCAGAAAGAGACTGGAGCCACCATCAAACTGTCCAAATCTAAAGACTTCTACCCAGGTATGCATCACATATTTTGTCTGGCTTTAATGATGATCAACATTGCTTATTTCAGAGATAAGCACATATATTTTATTTTATTTTATTAAATACAAAAATTCTCTGTCTATTATTAGATCTGTGTTATAAATCCTCACATTTTATTTACTGTGTAACAGATGGTGGAGTTAATAGTGCCATGCATAACTCTCTTTCAGACTAAACACTCTTGAAAATAAAGATCCTTCAATGTTTTTGCTTCAAACCATTTTTCACTTTATAGGATTTTTAGAGACAGTTTTTGTTTATGATGATGGGTTTCTTCAGTTCAGTATGTTGGTTTCTGTGTTCTTTAAAGCACATGGGTATTTTTTTTAATGAATAAACTGTTCTAAGGTACTTAAAGTTCTTCTATGGCATCAAGCTGTAAAACCATTTTTTTAAATTAATTGGAGGAGTCTTTATTTTTAAGAATGAAGGATAAAAGTTGTGCATTTGTTTAGAATAAACTGATAAAGTTTTTTTTTTCTTAAACTAGCAGATTTTTGCAAGCTAAAATTTCTAGAATTGTAGAAAACAGCAATCTTGGAAGTGTTCTGAATGTTATGCAGAAGGTCTGATGGAGGTAGATTAATGTTTACGAGGACGTTTACAGATGTTGGCCCGTTTGTGTCATTGACTATAGTGTCTTTTCCACTATGTGTCATTAAGAAGCTGCTTTATGTTGTAGCGTGAAAAATAAAAATGGCTGAGAATGACAGTGGAAAATGTGCCCATAGGGAGAGGAAATATGTGAGAAAGTGTGTGTGTGTGTGTGTGTGTGTGTGTGTGTGTGTGTGTCGCAGCTGTGAAGCGTACAGCTGAATATTGTGAACATAATTTGTCTGTGAATAGCTATGTTTTCATTCATTAAACACACTCGTTACAAACTATCCTGAGACCACCTGTTCTGCCTTTCACCCTTCTACTAACACACACAAACACACATTCTCGCTCTCATTTGCCTTCTCACTTGCTTTTGCAGTTTTTTTTATCTTTCAAATTCACCTTTCATCATCCCATCAATTTTAAAATATTTTATAGATTTCAAATAATTTCTTTTCACTGTGTTTATTCTAACTGCACAATGTCGTAGTACCACACAATATGATACAACCACAGTTATTTACCAATCAGCAATGAAGAATGAGAATTACTTTGTTCCAGAGCCATAGAGAGAAAGAGTTGCGACACTCCCATAGACCGCCATAGGAACTTTGGAATGCGGAAGTAACGCGTGTCGTGGAGCGGCCAATAGTTCCAAACACTGATAGTTCCAGCATTGAACCCCATTCATTTTCAGTGCTTCCGAAGTACGCTCGCTGATAAATTAATGAAATTACTGTATTTTTTTTACTTTTACACACATTAGCCGACCTCTCATGAATCTAGTCTGTAGTATATAATATTTTTAATAATATTTTATATGTATGTATATATATATAGCCTATATATAATATTATACATACACACAATTCATTTATTTAAATGGGTTAGGGTTATGCATATATGTGCTTATATGTATTTAGGAACATAGTTAATTCACTCATTAACTATCTCTCCGGTTTAATTTTATGAAGAATATTTTTCGGTTGAATATTTACCGAACATTGCTGTATATAGTCGTTGCTTTCTACGTTATGGGAGCAGTCTATTTTCCTCCTAAATCGTTCATTTGTACATGCACAGCGTAATTATTTATATTTTATGTTGGTTGGAGTTCTGAACGGACTGCAGACCTCTTTGCGTGATCACGAAGGTAAGCTAATGGCTGAATCGGAATTTATAAGCAAGATCACGGGAATCAATAGCCTAATACAGCCCAGTTGTGCTAAAATAAATATCATGAGACGTCCATCATCAGATGAATGACATGGAAAAGTTAAGTTAGAGCCGCTAAAGCCAGTGCTACTACCCATGCGATTGCGAACATGAACACTAAGCTTTTCCCTCCAAAATTATAGCCTAAAACTTGTCACCCTGCCTCTCCAAATGCAAAACTGACATTAACAAAATGCAATAACAGCTCAAAAAGTACTTGGGTGTGTGTTTTATTTTATATCTACCGTTTAATAATGCAATCGCTGCTGTCTGTCCATAGAAGAACATGACAGCCCGCGTATGTTTTGGAACTATTGGGGCTTACATGAACCACGTGACAGCCGTCGCGGCCACATCAAAGCGTGTCGCAACTCTTTCTCTCTATGGCTCTGCTTTGTTCAAATTCATTTCCTGAATTTGAATTTAATCCTAAATTGAAATTGAGGTAGCAAGCTGGATGCAGAATTGAAATTTGAATTTAATGTAAAGATGTCTTAAAGTTTTTTTTTGTTTTTTTAAACTTTTAAATACAAAAAAAAATTTGAAATTTGAAAGTTCATACTACATGGATGGATGGATAGATATTTGATTTCATCTAAATTAATCATTAATAAATTCCTCTTCCTGTAATTCCCATTCAAATTCAAATTCAACTTCCTGTGTGCTGTGACCGATTCAATTCAAATTCCAGTTAATTCATAAAATACTGATTTTTGTCAAACCCTGTGTATAACAAGTAGTGCTGCTCTGGCACAAACACCAGCACATCCTCAATCATTCTGGTCTCTGATATAATAGCAGCTTCTCTTCCAAACCTCATTTATCTTATGAGACGTTGAAAGGGAAACATTTAAACTCTCTCTGGCTCGCAAGAGAGCTATAAAAAGAATTCACCTACAGCTGAGCGGTTTCACTCCAGCCAGCAGTGCTTTAACACACACCGTAGTCTGTCACATGTACTGTAAATTACAATTCAGTCTTTTCTTAAAACTGTTTTAAACGCAGATTCTTACCACAAACCACACCTCCTCAAAGAGGGCAGGACTGAAATGAACACTGCACACACACTAGTGTGTGCTTTATTCAAGCATGATTTATTTGTAAGACTTCAACATCTTGAAGCGCGAATGTTGAAACTGGTTGTTTGTTTGTGTGTGTGTTGTGCTGTGCTGTTCTTCAGATACGAATAAGTGTGTGATACTCAATCTAGTGGTAAAAAAAAACACAACAGAGGAACAAACACAATGTTGGAGCTCTCTCTCTCTCTCTCTCTCTCTCTCACTCTCACTCTCTCACTCACTCACTCACTCACTCACTCACTCACTCACTCACTCACTCACTCACTCACTCACTCACTCACTCACTCACTCACTCACTCACTCACTCACACTCACACTCACACTCACACTCACACACACACACACACTCACACACTCACTCACACACACACACACACACACACACACACACACGCACACGCAAGGCAATATCTCTGCACTGTTGCCCAGAAACAAACACACGATACCAACAACCTACATGCCCCCGCTTCCCACATCTCTCTCCCTCCAAAAAAAAATAGAAGATGATCATGACAGTATATTTAGGACATTGAATTATACTTTCCACCACAATACTGAACAAATCCAAACTTGAATTCAGGTTGACACAATACGCAGATGATTGTGTAACAATAATTCATTGTAGACTTCATCTCTCTGGTCATGGTGAACAGGGTCCAGTCCAATGTGAGCTCTTTGGTTTCTCACAGTTACAACAGTATTTCAGACAGTCCATGCACTTCAGGGCAGTGAGATGCCAGAGATTAGGAGATTGTATGTGTGTCCCAGACATTTGTGTGGGGTGTCCCAGAGGAGTGATGTGGTTAGAGAGGACAGGTTCAGAATTGAATGCATTCTGAATGAATTACATCATGTAGCCATAAGTTCATCTGTCTTTTCCCCCTGTGTTACAACAGCCCTTTTCATTCTTTCTGATAATGCATTTATACTGAAAGGAGAAACTGCTTCTTTGAAAATGTAATGTGTGTTTGGTGAAGCTTTCAACTTCAGGGTCATTGGTTAAGCTCCCAGGAAATTCATGAACTGATCAAATGTACACCTTGGCTAAAATGCAGTGTAAGTTGCTTTGGATAAAAGTGTCTGTTAAATGCATACATTTAATTTAAACACATTTAATTTAAACACAGTACAATATCACAGTACAGTAACTACTGTATTTGTATTTACTTGATTGATGTTAAGCTTTTCTAACAAATCTTTGTACTGTATTGATATGTCCAGATTTGATGCACTATCGTTCAAAAATTTGGTGTCAGTAAGTTTTAAAAAAAAGAAATGAATACTTAAATAGATCAAAAGTGAAAAAACATTTATAATGTTACAAAAGATTTGTTTCAAACAAATGCTTTTCTTTTGAAGTTTTTATTCATCAAAGAATCCCCCAAAAATTCACAACTGTTTTCAACATGGATAATAATTGGAAATGTTTCTTGAGCAGCAAATCACCATATTAGAATGATTTCTGAAGGATCATGTCACACTGAAGACTGGAGTAATGATGCTGAAAAATCAGCTTTGCATCACAGGAATAAATTACATTTTAAAATATATAAGAATAGAAAACAGTTATTTAAAGGGACAATGTGTAGGAATTTCTCCCATCTAGCGGCGAAAATGTATTTTGCATTCAAACGAATTGTGCTCTCCAGCGCCTCGCTTTTTCAAATGCGCGTTGCATCTACGGTAGCCATTATGTACCAAAAAGCTATGACAGGATGTCTTCTAATAGCACTTCGTCGAGTGTTCCTTCGGGTGAACAGGTTTGTTATTTCAAACAAACAGCAACTTAACACAACAAACAAACGAATGTTACAGTATGAATTACTGACTGTGAAAAACATGAACTATTGTAATAAGTAGTTATGCCTTCTTTATTCGTTATATTTTCTGAAGTACGTGCATTGTTAGATATCATCATCAACTTTTAACTATAAATGTTCATCTGTCTATAAAATAAAGTACACAACCAAACAATGAAAAAAAGCTTGTAATTAAGACTGTAACATTGACTTACCTGTCGAGAAAAAAGCAGGTAACTTCAGCGTCTCTTTTGAAATCTTTCTCCTGCATTAGCTCTATCCACCTGGAAAAAGCTATCCCGACATTAACTCGTGTTTTTTGTAATCTCCGGTCACGTTTCCTTTTACGATCTATTTTGGACTTTTCTGGCAACGAGGATTTGCAATGCAGCCTTTAAACTTGCCGGGGCAGTGACAAGCGCCTCTCACTGCTCTTGTCCTCCGCTTCTGCTGCTTTCAGTTACGTGACGCTGGCTCTGAACGAAAACACGCTGTGGAAACGCGTTGGCCTTGTACTTTTTGTCCCTCTCTGCTATTATAGTTTTTCAAGATGGCGGAACTACATGGAAGCCTCCGTGGACCTACCCGTCCCATGTATATAAATATAATAAATTCTTCGTTTACGAGGATAAGTCAAATAATTGGCAGAGGTATTTTTACACCATTGAGGACATATTTATGAATAAAAATATTGATTTTAAATAATAAAATACATAAAAAAGTACACACTGTCCCTTTAAATTATAACAATATTTCACAATGTTATTTCACAATACTGTTTTACTATAAATGCAGCCTTGGTGTGCATAAGAAGTTCTTTTCAAAAACATTAGAAAATCTTACCAACCCCAATTTTTTAATGGTAGTGTACTATGCATACATAATTTCTAGGGCTGGATAAAAATATGTATTTCTCGATTTTAATTGATTCTCATTTTTTATGAACCGATATCAATTCTTAAATCCCAAGAATAAATCTTTTAGTCTATGCTGTTTTCAGTTGATGAACTTTGTAACGTTGCCTCCCATCCAATAAATTGAAATAGCGTTGTGCTTTGTTACTTTTGATATAAAACAAAGTTTCAGATTTCAAAATCTGTCCATGTTATTGTGAAATTCAAACAATAAATACCATTTTGGTGCACTTTAATGTGGCATGACAGATTGCTGTTGCCGCCTCAGATCAAGCGGCACAAGAACTGATAATCTCTTCCTCTTTACTAGTAGTTACAGCAGCAAATAAACATTGATTGAACATCAAAAGTTAATTTGGAAATATAAAGGACAACTTACCAAAATCCGTATCATGTCTAAAGGTAATCGCTCAATCAGTGTTTTAGCCGTAGAAAGACGCCAATGGAATTAATATGTAATATAGTGCATATATTAAGCAAAATGCTCATCTCTAGAGTTAATTTTTCTAGCTGACCAATAAGTTTATACAGAAAATGGATTTTCTGAGGTGTATATATCCTGTGTATATATATATATATATATATATATATATATATATATATATACAAATAGTCAACATTTGAAGTGGATCAAAACCTTTCATCAAAGTTATACATTAATTTGTCTTAGGACAACTTTGATTCACTTTTTTGATCCACTTCAAATGTTGACTACTGTGTATATATATATTATTTATTTGTAATATTTTTTTTTTACTGTTCCTCAAAATATATATAAAAAATTGCTTTTAAAAACACAAGCAAATTTATTTCACAAAAATGGTTGACAAACTAACACTACCCCCGTTTCTATTACCCTTCAAATTGCGCACATTGAAATTGCGAATTGAAAATATGCCCAATGGAAACCCAATGGATTTCGCATAAACTCCCATATATCGCAAAAAAGTTTTTACGTTCGCATGAGGTGGTTCTTCAGACAATTCGAAAAAGGAATGTTTTGCAAAACTGCAATGGAAACAGTTTTTTCGCATTTACAGGTCACCTGGCGTACGTAAAAGTCGATCATTCTTTAAAGAAGGCGCGGCATGTTTGGAAAGAAGACCAAACAGAGTTCTTTATTTAGCTCATAAAAGACAAAAGTATTATGGGAATACTAGATTCTAAACAACAAAGAAATGCCACAATTTATCAAGACCTTGAAGCAGATAGGAGGGATAATCATCTACGTGCCGCTCCCATAAGGGGCTTTCCTTTCCTTGTGTTATCCAAGGTGTGCTTGGATAACACACCTACGTCTCCTCTGATTAAAAAATAATGGCTAGTGCAGTGGCTGTGTTATATACGCTTACCAACATCCGTTGCCAGGATTTTTGGAATGACTTATCGCAAGAGGAAAAATTACGTTGTGGAAACGCTGTCATTTCACAATAGTTTTTTATCGACATTTAGAAAATATCGCAAAAGTTTTGCACAAATCTGTAATGGAAATGCAGTTACTGATGAATAAACAGCATAAGGTAAGGCTATTAAATAGAAGTCCCTAACTAGTTTTTGATAAAACAATAAAGTAATTTGGTATGAGTCACAGTCATTAAAAAATATAGAAAATAACAGTGAAAAAAGGGGTATTTTGGAAACTACCGTTACTATGGTAAATACAAAATACTGTAACCTGGTGGAAAAAAAAGCTAAGTATACTTGCAGCCAGACTAATTATCAGTAGCCTATACTTCAAGTGTGTTAATGATTAGTTCACTTGAAGTATGCTATTTTGAAACAACTAATTTTGTACTAAGTATATTTTAGTTGTAATTAAATTGTAGTAAAGCATAACTTTAAGTGTATTTAGTGTACTTTTGTGTACTAAATTGGACCAACTTCAAGTATACTTTAATATGCCTGTGTAGGGAGTAATTACATGCTTGATTAGTGATATTAAAGTTTACTTTATTTGTGTTACAAGTCAAGTACATTACAAATTCATTACGAGTGTCTTGGAAAAATACTAGCAATATACCATAAGTGTATTTATATATATTTTTAAAATGTATATCTTTGCCGTTTTCGCCTTTTATTAGGATAGGACAGTAGCTAGACAGGAATTGAGGTGAGAGAGAGGATCGGGAAAGGTCCACGAGCTCGTGTCTCCCGAAGCACATGTTGGCGCACTTGCCCGGGAGGCTATCGTGGTGTGATATATTTGAGTAAAAATGATAGGCCCATTTATACCTTTGGCTTATTCCAAATACTGGCGCGATGCGACAAAGTTGAGATCTGTTTAACTTTATGCAAATGAAGAGTGACTTTTGGGAGCGACAACCAATAGGAGTGAAGTCAGTGGAGCGCGTCACTCTTCAGTGCTGAGTCTGACCGAGGCAAGTTGAACGAAAAGCTCATTTTAGCAGTCAGAAACTGTCCTATAATTTATGATATATCTCCGTGTACATACAGTGGTATTCACCGTACTGACTCCGTGCCTGAATGGTTTCGGGAACCCAGATAGACCAGTATTTGCCCGTTTGCTGCAGTTAAATAGCCGTGATGGCAAAGAGCACTCACTGTTTCTCGTTCATCTTTAATATTATGCATTTTATGTACTGATTCCATTTATATTTAGACTTTTCTTTCCAAAATGTTTGTTTGTAGCGGCAAGAAAACGTATTTGTTGTCTAACATAGAGTAACATCCGTGAATGTCACTCACAAACATTACTAGGCAACCAGTAGTGGGAACGCCCTCCAGCGCAGCCACTGGCGACCTGCAGCGACAAAGTCGCTTGTAGTTTGAACAGGGCTTAACACACAACATTACGTAATTTATTGTTACGTTTTGGTAACATCATGACCAGTGTAATGCATTACAGGTAATGAGAGTTCTGTAATCAGATTACTTTTTCAAGTAACTAGTAAAGTAATGCATTACCGGTACTTTAAAATTTACAACAAAATATTATTATTATTATTATTATTTTTTTATTAGTTACATAAGTTACTTTGTTTTCCCATTTATTGACTGACACCTCTCTTGTCCTCATGTTGAGAGAAATCGTGAGTAAGTGCAGATGCGTTGTGTGCACTGGGTAAACATGAGGCTTACTGTATATTTAGACTAAATGTGTAATAGTACATTTCTTCACGGCGAACACAGTAATAATGTCTGACAGGACAGGACAGTTTGTTTTTCTGAGGTGAGAGACTTTATTTTATAGCAAGATGAAAATAATGTTAGAATAATGACACTGACATATAGCCTGACAACATCTCATCTGACAACAGATACTGAATCAGGACAACGCGTTTTTCTTTGGCACTTAAACTGTGTCTGACAGAAGAGTCAACAGTTTTCAAGCACATCTTTCAAAATAAAAGTCTTGCTTCAGAAAAACATTTAGAATTGTTTTTTTTTATTTTCTGGTTGTTGTTGTTTCTTTCTCTACACACTCCACGACCCACCGAAAATAGTCTTGCGACCCACTTTTGGGTTGCGACCGACCAGTTGAGAAACACTGGTTTATAGCATTAGATGAGATTTATTTCCCTTGGGAACATTTGCCAGGTACTGTATCTGATATGAATCAAAATCAAATTGAACTGCAAGCTTGTGAATCGAAATCAAATCGTGAAATTTAGATCAATACCCAGCCCTAATACTTTGATTTTACATGTGTATTTTGTCTATATGCTAACATTGTGTTTATTTTTGTGTGTGTGTGTGTGTGTGCGTGATCAGGTACAACAGAGCGTGTTTGTTTGATTCAGGGTACAGTGGAAGCTCTGAATGGAGTACATAACTTCATCGCTGAAAAAGTTCGTGAGATGCCTCAGAGCAGTCAGAAGACCGAACCTGTCAGCATTCTCCAGCCACAGACTACTGTTAACCCTGACCGTGTTAAACAGGTTAGTTTGGGAGGTTGCTTTACTACTACACCACACCAATCCACGCCGAAGTTCCTTGTTATTAAATGGGTGATGAAGAGTTGAACATATCAGACTTTGTAGTTTAGGAATTAAACATGCACATCAGTTATTCCCCTGAACCATAGCTTAGTTCATAATATTTGTAATATTGTGATTATTTTGCTAATAGAATGACAGCAAAGACAGTGAGTACTTTTTACATGTGCAGTTATAATTAGTCAAGCAGTTTGGATGTGTACAAGAGCGTTTACATGACATTTTAAAAAGGTGAATTATTAGTCTAACTGAAATCAATTTCTAAGGTGCCTGCAAATGTACTTACTGTCAGCTATCTGACAGTGATAAGCAACAATGAAGACCAATGAAGACTGGAAAATATACCAGCCCAGAGGAGGCAGAGGGCAGGGTAGGCTGGTGGTTGTTCCCCAGGGAAAGAGTGGCTAAGAGGGGCAGCAAAGTGTGAGAGCAGTGGGTTATTTTTACCTGCTTGATCTTTGCAGAATGAGAAACAGAGAGGGAGTGAGAGCGAGCAGCTGCAATGTAAGACCGGGGATCAACAAATGGCTGAAATAAGCACTGACTTATAAGCCAGACCTTACACAGTCACACACACATACACACACTATTATACACCCTTAAACATATACAAGCACACAGGGTTAGATATTGTAAATGCAACTCTCTGTAATATATTGCGAACATTTTTTACTGTGTAAGTGTGGACAGAAAACAAACATATAACCAGCACAGATGCATTTGAGTTTATTGCAGCATCTATTTTTGGGGCTGTATGCAGTCTCATGCATGTAATTCTGTTCCTCAATCAAAGTGACACTTCCCCTCCTCCACAGGCTAAACTGATCGTGCCCAACAGCACAGCAGGACTCATCATCGGTAAGGGTGGGGCAACAGTTAAGGCTGTGATGGAGCAGTCAGGAGCCTGGGTACAGCTTTCTCAGAAGCCTGAGGGCATCAATCTGCAGGAGCGCGTTGTGACAGTGAGTGGGGAGCCAGAGCAGAACCGCAAAGCAGTGGAGATCATTGTCCAGAAGATCCAGGAGGACCCACAGAGCAGCAGTTGTCTGAATATCAGTTACTCCAACATCACCGGCCCCGTGGCCAACTCCAACCCGACAGGATCCCCCTTTGCCAACTCTACAGAGGTGTTACCCAACGCCGCCGCAGCAGCTACAGCCTCCACACTCCTTGGCCAGGCGGGTCTTGCAGGCATGGGTGGGTTCCCTACGGCTATGTCAAGTCTTTCCGGTAATGATCTGCTTGCCATTACGTCTGCCCTGAACACTCTGGCCAGTTACGGCTACAATACCAATACACTGGGGCTTGGCCTTAACCCGGCCGCCGCATCTGGGGTGCTCGCTGCCGTTGCGGCTAGTGCCAATCCAGCGGCTGCCGCTGCCGCCAATCTGCTTGCTACATATGCCAGCGAGGCCTCTGGAGGGGGTGGTCACCCTGTCGGACCTAGTTTAGGAGGCTTCACGCTGGGGTCTCTAGCGGCCGCCACAGGGGCTTCTAATGGGTACCTGAATCCCTCATCACCGCTGGTGGCATCATCTCTGCTGGGCACAGAGAAGCTGGCAGAAGGTGGAAAAGAGGTGGTGGAGATCGCTGTGCCCGAGAACTTGGTTGGTGCCATCTTGGGAAAAGGCGGCAAGACTTTGGTGGAGTATCAGGAGCTGACGGGGGCACGAATTCAGATCTCCAAAAAGGGAGAGTTCATTCCAGGCACACGAAATCGCAAGGTGACCATTACGGGGTCTCCGGCAGCGACACAGGCCGCCCAGTATCTCATCAGCCAGCGAATTACGTACGAGCAAGGCGTCCGTGCCACCAACCCTCAGAAGGTGGGCTAGGGATGGACAGGAGTGGGGAGGGGAACGACGAAAGCGAAGGAAACCAGAGAGAATTGATAGATGACTGAATGAATGAAATCGATGGTCGAACGGGATGAGTAGGAGCAAGAAACGTGTCCAAATATTTAAACACAAAATAAGGACAATTACAAAACAAATGAAAAAAAGATCTGATGGAACTGTGGATAGATTATCTGTTTGGGAAGAGATATTTTGTGATTGAAATTCTGCTGTATTTTTAAAGTTGTTACGTTGTGTAGGTCAGAGTAATGTGCCCTGGGGCACTCAGAGGAGAAGGAGCTCAAACCTCACTTCCTCTCTCTTAGCCAGGGTCTTTTGAATTCTATGTTCTGTTTTTGGCTTTCATTGCTAAACCCTCACAGTTTAGTTCATACCTGATCCACACCCTGAGAAAGGAGAATTGGAGTTTGAAGCGGTCCCCCTTTTGATATCAGTAAATTCAGTCTCCATAAGTGTAGGCCTGAAATGAAAACAAAGATACCTGTGAACCATTTCCATAGGTACTCTTGCCCCCCCCCCCCCCCCCCCCCCTTATTGTTTTCAATTGAGACTTAATCCAAAACACTTGCTGAAAGCTTTTGATCTGCATTGCATTACTAATATCTCTGTGATTATTCTCCATTATGGTCAGTTCACACTCAGTCTCTTTTAGATTTACTCAAACCTGTGATTCCAGGTTGACCTGAATGTATAGACTTCCTGATATTGTTGGCGTTTTTTATATGTAAATAGAGTATCAAATTGAGATGCTGTCAAAAGTAGATAGCTAATCTTCAGCCACAGACAGACAGAGACAGACATCATACGTCAAAGTTCAGATACTCTGCATTAGAGAACTGGAATGTAACACATACATACAAGTGCAGTTTAGTCACAGGATCCCATTTTGGTGCTATAAGAAAACACATTTGAAGAGATTTTGTTGTCATATATACTGATTTTAGTATTTATGGGAGAGTTTCTCGGGAGCCCTTGTGAATTATTAGGGGGCATTTTTCAATTTAATCACGAGACTGTGAGCGAGTGCATATTCAAAAGATCCTGCTAGAGAAGAGACAGTAGGATCTTAAAAGCCTGTTTTGTCTCACTGACTTTTAACTCTTACTACAGAAAAACTTTGGACACACTACCAAGGAATTGAAGTCCTTAGAATCCTGAACTTGAAAATAATTGGACCTGTTTAGACAGATGTACCTCTTAACTCCTCTTCCCCTGATTGGAGGAGCCAGGCAATGTCTGTGCCTGTTTCGTTTGAAAGGAGCTCAGGTTGTCATACCTCATGTTTGTGAAGGAGAAAGATTTCCAGTTTGTATGCAGTGCAGCAAAGTCTTGGGTGCATTACAGATTCCACCTCGTTCACATCGCAGTTTGGCAGGATGGCAGCAGAGGTGCGGTTGAGGTAGTGAACGAGAGAATAAAATGACACACAGTTTTTGTAACCTGTCTGAACTTATTTGAAGGCCGGAGGATACTACTGTCGACCTTCAGCCTTCTGTAAAGCGGCGTCACTGCGAGGCAAATTCTTGCAGGCTAACTGATCGTAATTCTGCTTCCGTTGAGAAACCAAACTGCAGGCCGTAGCGTCAGACGCACAGCTCCGTTTGCCCAACATTTCTAAACCATTGCTGCAGAGTTTCACGAGCCCTCCATTTTTTTCACTGATCAACAGGTCATCAGTTGCACAGAACGTGGTGATAGTTACTCATTAGTTAATTCCACAGTTGTACACTGCTTCAAAACGTTTGCTGCTAACAGCATTTTCGGTCTTGCCAGCAATTGGCTCTTGCATGGAGAGTGAGCAGGAGCTCCCGTACAGGGCGAGCAATCGTCTCTGAACCACACTGTGAATCCAGCGGCCTGACGCCATCGCAACTATGGAATGTACTGTACATATTTCACACCATCGAGAGTGTGTCCACTGAGACACGGCATGACGGAATTAAGCAATGAAACCAAGCGAGCACAAGAACACGGGCCACGAGGCTCCGCTGTAGGGACGTCTACCTGTAGTTTACCTTGCTCTTTTGCCAAACCAGAGGTCATCGAGGGTCCGATTCCCCCCGCGGCGCCCAGACCTGTCATTAATTAGCAGATCTCCATTTGAACCCTGGACTTCCATATATAACAACACTGCACAGCCCAATCTACTGCTGACCTACATGCACACTCTAAAAGTCATTCATCATCTCCCTCCAACTACCAGGCCTCTAATCTACTCGCTAGAGGCGAAGCGGAAACGTAGAAAAAGAAGGAAAAAGAGAGAGAGGGAGAGAGAGGGGGTGAGAGAGTAACCTATTTATATCCATTGCATAATTGTGAGGAATATTAACATTTCCACATCTCTCATGATTGCTGTTTAAATGCCATTCAAAGTTTAACATGCCATACACTCAGTTAATCTACTTCCAAACTAGTTACTGTATTTCAGTACCAGCCGTGAGATATCAAGTTCTCAAAGTATAAATTGTTGTTCAATACTGTTTGGTGATCAAACTGTACCTGATTTCAGAAGCACAAGCACTTGGTGCAGCAATATGAGGGTAATATGATTATAGTCAAATATGTCATTTATATTTGTAGTAAAACAGTTCAAATTTGTTGATGCTCATGACATTAGGGTTAATTCTGTCTCTCACTCTCTCCGTGTCCTCCCTCTGTCTTTGCACTACCTCTTTTTCTTCCTTTTTCTGTGCTCTGACTTAGACCCCCACATGTCTTGCTCTGTCACCACTTTTCCCACTTTCTGTTGTCTCTCCTTTCCCCTTTCACTTTCTTCCCCTCCAGGCTGCCGGTCGCCACGGATGTGTTGTGTGTGTGTGTTTATCACAGAGGGTGTGTGTGTCTCCACAGCGGCTGATGGGTATTCTGCCGTGTCGCGAACACCGTACCTCTGGACTAATACACGACATAGTCTAACATTAATACATGTGATCAGATTCTCATGCTCTCTGCCTGATTGATTCAGTATTCTACCTTAAACTAGCTAGAACAGGGAATCTGTGCTCTGTGAGAACATAGAGTCGTAAACCCAGAGAAAAGAACTCTGGTTAAAAAACAAACAGACAAAAAAACAATAACCTAAGGGAGATGGATGTGATAGCCACCTCAAACTCAAACGATGATGTCACCATCGTTTGTGCTCTGTGTTCTCTTTCCTCTCTCTGAGAACTATCGAAGATCATTTCTGCATTTTTCCTTCATTTAAAAAAAAAAATGAAACTGTGGAATCCGTCGCGTCTCATGTTCTTTGTGTATTTTGGTGTAGTTCCTCTAGTTTGTGGTCTAAATGCAGTCTTGCGCTGTTGGTTTCAGTGTGTGATTATCCGTTATACTCGTGTGGATGATGAAAGTGCCAATCAAGCCTGGTTAAGATTAGCTTTGCAATTTGTTTGTGCATTAGAGTTGCTCTCTTTGGAGTGCTGGTGTCCATATCTACGTCATTGATAATTTTAGATCGACTTAAAATGTAAAGAACTATTGGAAGCAATATTGTAGCATGTTGTCAAGTTTTGTGTTTTGTTATGTCTGTTGTATGAGCCTTTGGATTTACTACGAATTTTGAATTAATAGGTTTACATGTACTTTTTTGTAATACCGTAAGTTTAAAAAAAAAAAGTAAAAAATGCTGCTATTTGATAAGTGAAATATACAGAAATATTTTAGTTGAGAAAAAAAACGTCTGGTCTGTTGATTAGGATTGTGCTCGTTTTTTCGACAGGGGTATAAACGAGGTGTATCAATATTAATTACATAGACGCAGTAATAATAGTCAACCTGTGCCAAACTAGACTTTCACAGCTTCTCGACATGTAGGTGTGTGATGAAACATTAGATACCGATAACTTATTTAGAAGCATTGAACAAGTGCCAATTAATCAATATCTTTTAGTTCCAATGAAAAGATAATCAGCGAAGGAACAAAAAAAGACATAGCGCAACATTAGCATTGTTTTGACCCCATAGCTGCATAGACTAAGAGAAAAAAAAATTTATGCATCCATATGGTTTTAATGCACTCAGTAGAGGCATCCTGTGCATTCGTTTGACCTGTGGCTTCCGCACTGCTTTTAAGTCATATTGTCTCTGTAGGTCGGCATGGAGTAGGCATACACATGTTATACGCATTCATAACACAGCCATTTATGAAAGTGTGTTTTGTGGATTTAGGTGTTATCTTTTTGCACGTCTCTATTGCATGATATCCAAGTGAATTATTGAGGGGTGGGAAATCAAAACAGACAAACATTTAAAAAAATAAGCGTCTTGTGTCGCTCCGAGACACACTTCTGCATGTGTCACAAACGGAGCGCTCTTTCTTTCTACCACTTCATTTGTTTTTCTCTGGTTTGTACCGCTACTGTTTTTCTCGGTCAGATGGGTGTGGTCTTCTAAAGGCCAGTACACATAGGCCTAAGAACTGCAGCATAACCATGGGAACTGGAGTCAATCAGGAATTCATAAAAGCGAGAGGATTCCAGTTTACGACGGCGGAATGTGTTCGTACTTATGTGTGAGACTCCATCTCCCGGCCTCTAATTTCAGGGGAACATACCCATGCATGGAAACGTCATATGAGTTCAGTTTTTTGGCTACGGTCGTGTTTATTCATACGAGGAGTTGCGTTCATCGCTTTCAGACTTCTCTAGTTTCTCAGCTTGATTCTCCTAACCCCACATGTAATTTATGAATGTATTTACATTTGCATAAACTGAAACAAAATGTTATTTCAATGTTAAATGTCTTTTAGGTGTGATGTTTACGGCGGAGGTTGTAAAGTTCATGTAGCTCGATCATATCTGTCAGTGTTAGGAAGGCCCAGAGCCACATTAGCACCCAAATTCATTTCTCTCTCTTCCTGTCTGCTGATGCATCAAATGCACTTTACTGAGCATTAGGTCCCATCACAAACACACACAGTGTAACCTTCTACTGGATGCAAACCTGAACCAAGCAACCTGTTTTTAACATGGAAAACTTTGACAGATATATTGTTGTTTTTCCTGTTGTTGTGTTTTTATTCTTTTCCTCCTTTGGTGTTTGTAAATGAGTTGTAATTTTTTAAAGTGTGTTTATTTTTGTATTTCTGTTCATTTTGGGGAGGAGAGGTCAGAAGGAGTGTGTGTGTGTGTGTGTGTGTGTGTGTGTGTGTGTGTTTGTGTGTGTATGATATCTGTCCTGCATTCCTACTACATTCCCTTCAGTGTGTGTGTGTGTGTGTGTGTGCGCGTGCGTGTGTGTGTGCGTGCGTGCGTGTGTGCGTGCGTGTGTGTGTGCGTGTGCGTGAGAGCCTTTGCATGGGTGTTTGTTTGTGAGTGTCTAGATAATGACACACGGACACTCTTGTTACCATTGTAATTGCCAACTGTGTGTGAAACTGAAGTGCTTTGAAAGTGAAAGGTGTTATTTTTGATTTTCAAAACTGTACGTTCTGTTCAGTTTAGAGGAATGGAAAATAAATTGCAGAAACCTCTGAAAAGTTTGTGTTCTCAATTAATTGAAACAGTGTTTCCCCAACAGTTTCTGTCTTAGGTACTCCACAGATTCAAGTAACCCGCATCGATTTCATTTAGTATTATCATTAAAGGGATAAAATGTTTAATTCTGTCATAATGTTCTCTCCCTCATGTCAGTCCAAAACTGTAGGACTTGCATTGTCAACATTCTTTAAAACATTCTTCAAAATATCTTTTGTGTGTGTCTGTGTGTGCGTGTGCGTATGTGTGTGTGTGCGTTCCGCAGAGAAAGGAATAAAGGTTTGGAATGACACGAGTGAATAAACGATGACAGAATTTCCTTTTTTCGGTGAACTATCCTTTTAATATTTTTAAGGTCACTGATATTATTAAAGTTAAAAAAGGAACAATTAATGGGTTATAAAATAGCCTCACCAATCAGCATATTCTGTCATCTTAATGTATAAAACTTACACACATTTCACAGTCTTCTCTCGAGAAAATAGGGGTATTTTATACTTGTTTTGAACAGACTTTGAACAAACTATAAAAAAATAGTTTTTATTTATTTATAATGCTTTTAGTTGTCTTTTAACAGTTGTCTGTTCTATAGGTTCTAACAAAGCAATTGTACCAATTGCACCTGGTTTGGAGTTACTGAATTATGGTTTATGTTGTCCATTTAAATCAATTGTTTAATTATATATATAATATATATAATTTTGTACTCAATAGAGTTGAGGATGGTTGTATATTCAACCAATATATTGCACGCAAACAAATAATTTATCCATTTAACCATCCACAGCTCACATGGCATACTGCATGCGCAGCAAAGCCAAAACCAACTGCTTTTAATGCTCTCTCTCTCTCTCTCACACTCACACACTCTCTCTCACACACACACACACACAGTTGTTTGTGGTGATGCTGTGGAAGCAGTACGGTCCTGCAGTGCAGCAGTTTGACGGCATGGTTGAAGTGTCATTATGATGAATGGCAAGATCAGTATGAATCATAACGCCTGCCTGTGACGCTGTTAGGTCGCTAAAAGCCAAAACGTGTGTGTGCTTGAGACTCATAAAGAATAAGAAATGCATAAACAACATTTATGTAATGAACTAACAAACAAATTATGGCCCAGAAAACAACTGTATGGCAATACGCAGTATCATCACTATGAATGATGTAAGTGTTTATATAGGTACTGCTGAGCTGAAGTGGCTACCTGGTTACCTTGGATACCTCTTACAGCCAAACCTCAAATGTCCTGTTTCCTGCTCTAACAAACCCTTCTCTTCAACACACACATATCTGCTCAATGCCAAACCTAACTATTCCTAGATCTTCTCTCTTGTTATTAGTATTAGTGTATTAGCGTAATTACACATTTCTAACACTAAATAGTAACTATGTAGTAAGATATTCAAAATAAAAAAGATATTGAAAATAAATATCAAGATTAAGGTTTGTAAAGGGATTTTCTATTTTATACATAATATAATATGATAATAAAAGAAACCAGTAAAAGTGTCCCTCAATTTCACTATTATTATTATTATTATTATTAATTACATTTTCTCATCTATTTGAGCTTTACCAAATCTGTAATATAATAATGAAGAGATATCCGTGAGGTAAGAATTTAAGGTGATCACTGTCTTGTTCTCGACCGCCCCAGCAGTTGCCATGGCAGTGAGTCCGCTGTAAATTGCTGTGGATCCTCATACGTGGTATGTTTCCTTGATTATGCCTGTAAATAACGAATCAAAAGAATGTTTCCCAGAATGCCATTAATTCTAGACCCCAGTGGTTATAGATTGTAAAGTGGATTGCAGTGTGCCAGCCTGCTATATAAGCCTATGATGAACACACATCTCAGATACTGATTGTGTATATTCTGCAGTGTTGGGGAGGGAGGCTACATTGAAACTGACTATCTTGCCAAACTTATAATTTGTATTAGTTAAGCTACAGTTCAGTCAAGCTACTGTTTTGCAAATACAGTTAGATACGCTACAAGCTACAAACAAAAAGTTTAGCTATAGCTGAAATTAAGCTTACTTTATAAATAAATTATTTATAAATAAATTGTTATGCTGGATGAACGTCTCCTTGTAGCTATATCCTGATAGCAATCACTATGTTAACCAGTCTAAATGTATTTTTATAAATATACTGTATATCGTCTGTGGAAGGCATGAGACCATAAAGGGTTTGTTCAATCATTGCTTTCATTGCAAATGATACCATGTGTTCCCTGTCGATCAACGTGTATTTGCATATACTACTGCGCGGCCTGTTCACTCAGACATCATTAGCACATTTCACGTACACTGTCTGTGCAGACAAAGCGAAGATGGCAGGCAAATAGCGACAACCTAACAACCTTTCCATCTGAACCGACAACAAGTGGCACTGGCAAGTATCTACATTTTAGGTCAGACAGTAGTTCTATGTACTATTGCTGACGTTGCCCTATGCAGATAATTCAGTGAGATTCGAGTGTGTTGCCCGTTGCCGCTATATCCTGAAATCGCATATTAAATAAAGCTGAAATACAGTGCATTCTTCCCTTTATGTCAACAGGTCAACTTCTCAACTGGAGTCATTTCACAGTCACATACTTATGTATACAAGCAAGTGCTTCTGTTTCTCCCCTCACTGATACTGTAAAGTTTTCTCACCAGTGAATGACACATGATGTAATCCGAATCGCTATGGGTTTAATTTGCAGTTGCTTCAATGCATTTAGGGGTGTGGTCCTAGTCAAGACAATCTCCTGAACTCCAAACTGAATGTCAGAATGGGAAAGAAAGGTGATTTAAGCAATTTTGAGCGTGGCATGGTTGTTGGTGCCAGACGGGCCGGTCTGAGTTTTTCACAATCTGCTCAGTTACTGGGATTTTCACGCACAACCATTTCTACACTGTAAAAAAAAATCTGTAGAAATTACAGTATTACTGGCAGCTGCTTGCCAGTAACTTACTGTAGTTTTAAATTGATGTTATTTACTGGCAACAGTTTGTTCAAAGTTAAATGAACATTAAACATTAACAAGTCTTTATCTTTACAGAATAAAACTAAAATAACAGCCTCATGCAAAGCATTCTGGGAACCAAAATCTGAAGGAAAAAAACAGAAAAAGGTTGATGAAGATTTCTGGTTCCCAGAATGCTTTGCATTAGATTGTTATTTTATAATTTTATTCTGTAAAGACAAAGACTTGTTAATGTTTAATGTTCATTTAACTTTGAACAAACTGTTGGCAGTAAATATACATCAATTTAAATCTACAGTAAGTTACTGGCAAACAGCTGCATAATTACAGCAATTTTTTTACAGTGTAGGGTTTACAAAGAATGGTGTGAAAAGGGAAAAACATCCAGTATGCGGCAGTCCTGTGGGCGAAAATGCCTTGTTGATGCTAGAGGTCAGAGGAGAATGGGCCGACTGATTCAAGCTGATAGAAGAGCAACTTTGACTGAAATAACCACTCGTTACAACCGAGGTATGCAGCAAAGCATTTGTGAAGCCACAACATGCAATGCAAAACCTTGAGGCGGATGGGCTACAACAGCAGAAGACCCCACCGGGTACCACTCATCTCCCCTACAAATAGGAAAAAGAGGCTACAATTTGCAAGAGCTCACCAAAATTGGACAGTTGAAGACTGGAAAAATGTTGCCTGGTCTGATGAGTCTCGATTTCTGTTGAGACATTCAGATGTGTAAAGACTCATGGGCGGATCTAATCCGTGGGGAATTTGCATATCATAATTAATAATTGGTAATTAATAATTATTCATGCATGTTTGGATTAGATCAGTCTTACATGTTAATAAATCTCCCAATAAGGGAGGATCTGTCATTTTACCTGCATGCATGCATGTGAATCCTTGAAATTAACCACAAGTTGATTGCAATTAATTACACGGACCACGTTTCACAAAACAGGTAAAATGAATTAGCTCAATTGTCAGGATAATATTTGTGGGGCTCCACAATATCATCTTACTTTATAGGATTTCAGGAAACGCAATTCTCTGGCCAGAAGAATTGGGTTTCCCGCCCTATAAACACATACTCTTTAAGGTATATTTAATTTTAGTAAGCTTGTAGCATAAGATCTTTGGCACTTAAGGGACTTGAAACTGAGCAAAGAGACAGTACATCAATCAAATGAATATATAATTAATTTAATAGAGGCATGACTACTTATGTATTTACTACGGTTACACGGGATATATGTATTTACAAACACATAGACATCAATAAACAATACAATAAGACATCAATGAACGAGAAATGCGTAAAGTTTGGACAATGGATAACTTACACGCGTGAGCGAGTAAGAGAGAGAGAAAAGGGGATGGGGAGAGAGAGAACAGTGGCAGAATTTTACCTAAGACATTCACCTCTCCGATTACAACACGAAACATCATCTTAAAGCTTCTTAGAAGCTCTATAAAGAGATTATACTTGCACAAGTTATGTTATGGTCTCTCGGTGTGTCGAGGCAGTCCCGTACGGCCCTGTCTGGCCGCGTGAGCTGAGTCCTTTGTGTGTGAGGAAGCGTCACGTGGGCTGCTTGGCGCGCGTGTTGAACGGAGATTCAAAGTCTTTGGGGTAACATTACCAAAGGGAAATAGTTCGGCTAAGTTCGTTTCACTTCGTCAACTACGGAAAACAAAACTTTGACTAACAAAAAAGAAATAAAGATCTCTACGGGGAAATCACGCGGAGTTAACGTTACATCTTTGCATGGCTGGTGAAGAAGCGCGTGCGTCGCTCGGTCCGGCGCGTCACGCGGTCACGTGCGCGTGTTTCTCCTTCAAAGCGAGCGCGCTCGTTTAAAGGTCCCTTGTAGATGGATTTGCTGAAGAGATATGTCACGCGGTTTTCTTTTCACTCGTCGATTGGCATTAAACACGGAGACTTATCTAAAACTGAAAAACACAAACGAAACTAGAAACAAATAAAAAGAAAGGCGAAGAGCTCGCCCGGAGGCGAGACGTTACATT